CATGCTTATTGCCTAATGCTCTAATCCCTTGCCTAACTGCCCTAACAAATTTACTATGTGTGACAATATGACATACCCACTAATCCCAAACCAACTAAATAATAATAAAACTTCTATTACTTACAATACATTTCATTTCTAACTACCTAGGAGCAAGTTTTCATTTTACTCTCTATCCCAGTATAGATACCCTAGCCAAATTAATTTTATTTCATTTCTAATTACCTAGGAGCCAGTTTTCATTTTACTCTCTATACCGGTTCTTTACAATCCACATTCTACTCCTAGTCATAAGTTCCCTATCCATATTTTTATACACTGTCCAAAACTTCCACATTGATCTTATGCCATCTGGGTCATAATAGTACTTCTGTTACTTACAACGAGTCCCTTTCTTTACATTCTTCATTCTACTCCTCAACCTAAATTCTCTAAACAAATTATAATATAATATCCATCTCACTAATGCTACTTTTTATATCAACCAAGAGAATTCATTTACCATTTACTTGTATTGAAAGATCAAAACCAAATTTTAATATATTATCCAACAAACTAATCCTAGACAACATTAATTCATAATACCACTTTTTAGGACAGCTAGGTAGGCTCATTTAATATTTACTAGTGATGGGAGAGCAAATGCTAAGTTTAAATTCATACTCCGCCCTTACCACCCTCATTTTGTTTTCCAAACATCAAAAAGCCTTTCTAAATCAGGGCAACATTATTGAACCACATAATATAATCCACCACCATTACAAAACCACTAAGTTCCATTTCTTGTTTATCTTGGTTTCTTGCATTTTCCTCCAGGTGACGTAAATTCTTGAACTCCTGTAAAGTAAGCTCCACATTTCTTTCCCCATATTTTCTTTCCTGTATCTTTAAGTGTTTGAAATTTTTAAGCTTCTTTCCTCCTATTTCCACGTTTTCCCCTTTTGTTACTTTCTTTTTCCCTCAACGGGGCTGTGGCAAACATTTTTTCCTTCCTCACAATTTCAACTTTTCTTGAAGTTCCAGCCCCTCCCTAGGTGTTTCCTCCTTCTGTATCTCCTTTTCTGTGCTTATTAGTTCGATACAGTCTGTTTCTCTTTCCCGTCCTGTTTCCTGTTCTTCCAACTGCCTTTGCATTTTTTGTACTTGTGTTTGCTCCTTCTTAACCTCCATCTCTGAATTTGTGCTTTGCATATTTTCAAGGACCTCTTTAAAGGCATTTTCACAACCCAATTTGAGTGCTATACTCGCTTCTTTTAACATCATAATTTGAAATTGTTCCCATGTAAGTTCATTAGTTTTATTGTCCTGTTCAGGCTCCTCAATAGGTTCTGCCATCGCCATTTTTTCCCCTTCACTCCAACCCCTCAATACACACCACCTTTAAATGTACTTGTAATATCCTGGGGTTTTATTTATAAACCAAATTCTTCATATAGAAATAAGATAACAGTAGTTGATCGTTGGCAGGCAAATCTCTCTCTTACCCCCTTCCCGATTCTTCAGGTTTCTCCGTTGTCTTCCAAATCATCCTTACGGCCATTTATCCATATAATAAGGAAAATCCACAGAGGGTATAACAGTCCACTCTTTCCTTTTGACCTGGGTCTGCACCAAGTATTCCTTTCAATGTGAAGTGTCCTTTCTTCTCAACAAAACAAAATAAATACTTTAAAAAACGGGTGGTCGCGTCTTGGAAGAACATGGCGGCCATGTTCTTCCCCTTCCACGCTCCTGCTTCAGGGCATTACTGGTCACCTCCCCCGCTTTGCCAAATCACGGGGGGCCCCAGCAACAAAGCCCCCTGCTCCAGCACTCTGTCGGAGAGCGCCGGCCGTGCTCTCCCAATGCTGGGAGGCTCAGAAAAGAGCGCTGGTGGGTCGAATGGGACGGAGCGATCCCAACGCCCCCCCGCTCGTCGAAGCGCCGTACCGGAAGTCCACATGTTTCAAGTTCTCATTGTAAAAATCACCACTGCAGTTTATGCAATCATGCTCAGCCTACCCAGGAACACACTGAACATACCTGGGAGCACCCTGTGCCTCCTTCCCACCTCCCTGAGAGAGTGGGGTGCTCTTCAGCATTCCCACAGAATATATTCCCATTTCCCACCTTGAAGGGTTGGCATTGTGTTTTAACTTTTTAATCAGTCCCTCTGATGTTTTTATTCCACACACCCTGTGTACATGAAAAAGGGGTGTGGGGGGAAGAATGCATTTAATGTGGGGAAGAGAGAGGTTTGTAAGCACATGCCCAAGATCGCTTTCTAACCAGTAGCAATATTGCTGACCAGCAATTCCTGATTCCTTCATTCGAAACAGGCTTGTGTGCAGGGACAAGGTGGAGTGGGGGACAGTAGGAGGGCTGCTTTTGGACACATCTTGAAGTGCATTTCTTGGAAAAAGCGAGGCTCAAGCAGACAGATAGTGAACACCCAGAAATGCCAAACTGTTAACAAACAAGACTTTCTCTCCTCTCCTTCCCCCCCCCTCAGCTTCACACAGGGAGGTGATTGGCTAGTGTTCCCCCTCCCCCCTCACTTCCAGAGTGCCTCTCTGACTGACAAACAGACTCTACAAACAGTTTCTCAGACTTTGCAGACAGTGTACTAAAACTCTCACCTGAGGCTAAAAAGATATGGAGAAGGACAAAGAAAGAAAAAAAACCCCAGGCTTTTAGAACGCTCTCTCAAGACAATGAAGCCAGCCTCCAAGTCTTGCCTGAAGATTCCCCCCACTCAGTTCAGTTCACCAGGAGAGAGAAAATTGAGACGTGGGAGTTTTTACTCAGCCCCCCACACCGATGGGACTTCTGCAGCTGGCCCCTCCAGTCTTGCACCACACAGGATGTGGGTTTCTCCTCTCTGCCACCTTGAAATGCACATGCTGCAGCAAAAAACAAACGCTTACATCCATTTGTCAGTCAGTCAGTCACCTTTATTGGAATATACAGATACTACAAACAGCAGTTGAACAAAGCCAACTATATAAAAGTTTATGTGGCATTTAAAAAAGAAAATTAATACTATAAGATTTCCTGATGGACTGTAAAAACAGGTCTACCTTCTCAGTAACTTCAGCTAAGCAATCGTTCAGAAGACAGTACACCTTAATATGATCAGACAGGCCCGACATTGCAACTAAAAACAAGTTTAATGTTTAGCATGCAAATCTGCATATAAGTAACAATGAAGGAGATTATGTGACTTCAATTCAATACAGCTGGAATTACAGAGACAAGTCCTGGTCAAGAAAGCAATCTTATTAAACCTACCACATAAGACCGTTGATGGCATAGCACTGAATCTTGCCAAGGAAAAGGCTCTCCAAGTTTAGGGAACTTGTAAGAGGGATAAATAAGAAGCCGTCCAACCTGTAGTAAGAGGAACCTAAAAGGGGGACAGGTTAGCTAAAACTCTCACCTGAGGCTAAAAAGCTTTGGAGGAGGACAAAGAAAGAAAAAAGAGCCTTTTTAAAAATGCTTTTTGGCTGGAACTGCATGGGGGCTCTCTCAAGCCAGTCTCCAGATCTTGCTTGGAGATTTCCCTCCACTCAGGTCAGTCCATTTATTTTCTCTCTTTCCCAGTGTTACAGAAGCACAAAATCCCCTGCAAAAAACATAACAGCCACCATTTTCCCCAGCGGCCTAAAACAGCTCCCCTGATGGCTACACCATTGCTCCAAACAGCCTTCCACCTGAGAAACCCTAACTACTCCCTCCTTCTCCAGACCCATTGGGGATGGCTGCCCAGCCAATGGGGATTGCAGGGAGAAGGGGGATGGGGCTTCCAGGGGAGGGTGGTGGTGGGGGGCTGGACTTCCACCCAGAAAGGGGTCAGGGCACCTGTCAAATGTTGATGAGAAGTGGGGTATACCCTCTATACTACTTGCAACCACATTTTGCACAGCAATTATAGTAACAATGTCTCAATACACATGAACAAATGTTTGAGTCCAATGGCACCTTTAAGACCAACAAAGTTTTATTTAAGGTATAAGCTTTAGTTGAAACAAAATTGAAACAAAATTTCTTCAAGCCCTGCAAACAGGAAAATAAGGGGAGGTGGAAGCATCAGAAAGTACCAGTCAGAATTAAGGTGCATAAATGAAGCTGAGATTGGATCAAGGCAGCAAGATCCAATCTCAGCTTCACTTATGCATCTTAAATTTGACTGGTCCTTCCTGATGCTTCCACCCCCCCCATCTCCCTGTATGTAAGGCTTGAATAAATTTTGTTTCAATTTGTCTCAGGAAGTGTGCTTGCACACGAAAGTTTACACCTTAAATAAAACACTTTGGCCCCTGCTACATGGGGGGGGGGGATACGCGGCCAAAGTGCAGCTTTTGGAAGCCGCACCAAAATAGAAACGCCGCTGCAGAATCACACGGATTCCCTGAGCCGCGGCGCCGTTGCTTCCCGGCACGATCAGATGTCAGAGAGGAAGCCATGGTCGGGAGACCAAGGAGACCAGTTCGGCCAGGAGCCGGGGATGCGCTGGCAGAAGGACGTGCCGGTGATCCCACAGCCACGCTTGCCGCAGCTGTTCAGGTAAGACCACCTCTGTCGGTGGTTCTTTTTTGCTGCGGGGTTTCCGGGGTTAGGGACAAATCGGGGACGGGTGTGCACCGCTTCCCAGATGTTGTGGTGAGATTGCGCCTGTTTGCTGCGGCCCCGATCCGTCCCTCTCCCAGGCCAAAACCCTCCGTGTGACCGGGACCATTGTTGGTCTTAAAAGGTGTCATTGGATTTAAACTTTGTTCTGCTGCTTCAGACCAACACAGCTAGCCACCTGAATTAAAATACATGGTAACTGGGAGAAGGTCAAAATGGTATTTGGATTGGGCTGTCATACTTCCTGTTTCTCCCAGCTCTACTCCTTTCCAAAGCTGTATCTGGAAAAGCTGGTAGGTTTTGAACCAATGTATTTTTGCCAACAAGTTGGAACAAATTTTCACATTACATCATTCCTGCTCTAGTGAAACAGCCAGAATTCTGTAACATACCAATTGCAGAACCTTCTGAATGGCCCACATAATAAAGGTGTTCTTGCCCCGTTTCATTCAGTATGTAGTGTATTACTGCTGGAATGTCATAGTATCCCATCTCATGAAAACTATAAAGATATACATGCAAAACAATGAATTAATAATACCAATTGCAGCAAAAAGTGGAAAATGTCAACTACCTGGTGATAAAATTATTTGAGTTCTATTTATTATTAATATAGTCATTAATGACATTGCAAAATTATGGTTTAGCAAAATTCCCACTTCTATGGAGGCATCTTCTGCAAGGCAAAGTGTCTTTAGCTCATCAAAGCGTCATTTTATTTACAGATGCCATCCTTCCATGAATTAAACACTTCATCAATGAACAGAAGATTCCTCCCTTAATGGGAGGGCTCCTTTGCATTTGACCCATGGAATCCCATGCAAGTTGGGAGCTAAGCACTTGTTTTGCTTCCTCTGTTTCTGCAGAAAGAGAGAGCAGAAGTGATATAGCTTCTGCCCTGCTCTGTTTCAAGCAAGGCTAAAGCTAAGCATCTGCCCTACTTCATCCTTTCTGAGATGTAATTTTTGATTGTAGTTTATATCATAACATTAGGGAAGTTCTGGTTAAGCCTATTGTTAACTCCTACCCAAGTTGCAATAGAAGGATACTTTTGTCAATTATGCTGGCAAGTAATAATCAAAAGCTGACTAGGGCCCTGGTCACATGGCAAAGTTGCCGCGGGAGAGGCACGAATGGTGGGTGGATTATCTAAGCATGATCACCCCTACTTATGCCCCTGTGTAAGCCACCCTGAGCCCGTTCGCGGGGAGGGCAGGGTAAAAATGCAAATAAATAAATTAATAATAATAAATAAGCTGTGGAGTTTTGTGAGCAAAAATTCTACTTTGTGGGTTACTGACATTAAAGTTGTGAGCAAGCGATTTGGCTATTGAATAAATTAGTTTGCTCTGGAGCCATTTTTCCTGAGCTAAGACAAAAATGCATGAGCCGAAGGCCAATAAACTGTGAGCTAGCTCAAACTAACTCAGCTTAGAGGGAACAGTGCTTACCACTCTGAACAATTTAGTATCATCCACAAATTTAGCCACTTCACTGCTTACTCCAAACTCCAAATCATTAATGAACAAGTTAAAAAGCATGAGACCCAGTATTGAGCCCTGCGGTACCCCACTGCTTACCACCCTTCACTGTGAAAATTGCCCATTTATACTCAATCTATGTTTCCTATTAATTAGCCAGTTTTCGATCCACTAGAGGACTTGTCCTTTTATCCCATGACTGTTGAGCTTACTTAGGAGCCTTTGATGAGGAACTTTATTAAAAGCTTTCTGGAAGTCAAGGTAAACAACATCTATTGGGCCCCCCTTGTCCACATGTTTGTTCATCCCCTCAAAGAACACTAACAAGGTAATGAGTCACACTCATGTGTTCTTTTGCCTAAAAAGAAGGCATAGGGCTGTGGAACCAGGTAAAATGAGATTAATCCTCCCATTTGCTTATTGAAATGCCTTCCTAGCTGGCTTAAACCCTGTGATCCTGAGCATTGGTAAAACCTCTCACAGCAAGCATCTTGATATAATACAACTGAGTTCATATGGCTTTTTGTGGCATTTTACCAATTTGTGCAAGCACATCAATGATATAACAGGCAAAATGATACAGATGACCTGACTCTTTAGAGAGCCAGTTTGGTGTAGTGGTTAGGAGTGTGGACTCTAATCTGGGAGACACAAGTTTGATTCCCCACTCCTCTACATGCAGCTGCTGGTGTGACCTTGCGTCAGTCATAAGTTCTTTCAGAGCTGTTCTCTCAAGAGCAGTTCTCAAAAGAGGTCTCTCAGCCTCACCTAACTCACAGGGTGTCTGTTGTGGGGAGGAGAAGGGAAGGGAAAGGAGATTGTAAGCCACTCTGAGACTCCTTCGCGTACTGAAGGGTGGGGTATAAATGCAATCTCCCCACACTCCTCCTCCTCCTCTAGATTGGCTATATAGGATCCAAAAATTCCCTGGGAAACTTTGCTAGATGTATCAACACTAGATATATCAACACTAGCTTTTCTTGAAACTTCTGAGGTATAAATTTATTAGGAATTGGCTTTAGGCAAACGTTCAGTGGGAACAAAGCTGCATGCAGATAATTGTTTGACTACTATGAATGTTTCCTGCCAGCCATTATCACATTTAAGTCATTTGGAATCATTTGCTGGGCTGGGCTGCTACATGCACTATGGGCACCTTTTGTGGTACACCTGTGATGTAATTATTTATACTGAATTCATAGTTATTCAAGCTGTGATGTGCTTATTCATGTTGAATTGCACCATGGGATAGGTGAATGGATGAAACAGGGGATTTAACAAGAGGGCCTCTTGGTCCCTTCCAGGTGCACGAATAATTTTAAAAAAGCTTGTCAAATAAGGAAGACAACAAATCTGTTTAGTCTCTGCAAGCAGAAATAACCCAGCCTATAGTGTATATAAAGATTCTCCCTTTCTCACAAGACAAGAACTCATGGGCACTCCATGAGATTGCTGAGCGGTCGGGTTAGAACGGATAAAAGGAAGTACTTCTTCACCCAAAGAGTGATTAACACATGGAATTCTCTGCCACAGGAGGTGGTGGCGGCTACAAGCATGGACGGCTTCAAAAGGGAATTAGATAGGCATATGGAGCAGAGGTCCATCGGTGGCTATTAGCCACAAGGTATAGATAGGGGCTCTGGGGCAAGTGATGCTCTATCATCTTGGTGCTTGGGGGGGGGTCAACAGTGGGAGGGCTTCTAATGTCCCGGCCCCACTGGTGGACCTCCTGATGGCACCTGGTATTTTTGGCCACTGTGTGACAGAGTGTTGGACTGGATGGGCCTTTGGCCTAATCCAACATTGGTGTCTCTTATGTTCTTATGTACCGAGACAAATTTGAAGTGAACTTTAAGCAAATAGAAGTTCTTCTGGCAGTTCATTATCTACACTGGTCTTCAGCTGTTCTCTATCCAGCCTGGAAAATCACTGCAACTTGGACATGAACACAAATGCATTCCTAGGACATGAAAGAAAGAAAACCTATTGGCTGCAGTCCGGAAGGTGAGTTTACGAGAGAGAAAACCATCCCAGAATACTGCCTAGTGCAGTTTGATCCCACCTTCCCAAGGAACTGAGGGAAACATATGTGATTCTTCCTTCCCCATTTTATCCTCACAACAACCTGTGAGGTAACTTAAGCTGGGAGAGTGTGACTGGCATAAGGTCATCCAATGAGCTTCATGGTGGGGGTACTTTGAACCTGGTCTCCCAGGTTCCTAGTTTGGCACTGCATTCATTAATCTACAGTTGCTCTGGAGGTCACACAATGTACAGGATCCTTACTTCAGTCAAGCAGGTCTGGCTCTGATTCACATCTAGATGGCAGACCTGGGAAACCTATACGTAGCAAACTGATATCAATGCAATAAAATAATAGCGTCTGACACAATATAGTTTGGTAACATAAGGCAAGGAAGGAGGCACAGATGTACCCTGAACATGGTGTACTCTCTGTTGTAATTACTATTTCAAGCCTCCACTTGATATGTGAATGTGGATGGCACGTGACTTAAGAATGGCTTCCTTCATCATATCTTGTTTGGCTGACTGATGAATCAATGAGAGTCTTTCACAGATGCGATGGGTGAGGTTAGGATCAATTTACAGCAACATTTCTTTGTTTCCTTACCTAAACTCCCAGAATTTCTGCTCAGTTGTTTTAAGTGTCTTGTGACGTGAAGACCAGGTGTTCCCTCTGCTGTTTCCTAACCAAACATCATAGCCAGCATCTGCTAATATGAAGCCAAAGCTATTGTTGGGCAAGTCTGAAAGCCAGTGGGTAGCATCTCCAAGTGCAGCATGTTGCAAAAACACAATAGGCCTGGGACCTGTAGGACAGAATGTACGCATTTAAAGGATTTGTTGTATCATCTGTTAGTGAACACATGAAGCTGCCTTCCACTGAGTCAGGTCATTGGTCTATTCAGGTCAGTATTGTCTGCTCTGACTGGCAGCCCCTCTTTAGAGTCTCAGGTGGAGATTTTCCACATCATCTGCCACTTGGTCATGTAAACTGGAGATGTTTAGGGATGAATCTGGGACTTTCTATATGCAAAGCAGATGCTGTCCTACTTCATTTCCATTTATTATTAATGTTCACAGACTAATTAGTCATAAGCAAATGAAAAAACTCCTGTCTCTTATATCCAAACAAGCTCATGAGAAATTTCACTACTGGAACTGTAATGGCTGGATCCTAGCTACCAAGCAAAAGTCAGAGCTTACTTGCTACGGGCAAGTCAGCGTCAGGAACTAATGGATGAATGAACAGTGTTCTTAGAAGCTATCTTTGGCAGAAAAAGGGCATGCTCTGTCATTTCCATGGAACCAGATATGCAGCCACATAGACGCTCAGGGTAGGGCTTTTTAGGATAGCGCCCACTCAAGACAGCAGTAGGTAGTACATTGAACTTAGCTAAAAAGAATGCTCTTCTATAAACTGGGATGGTCAAGAAATCTATATACAGACAGCAGGACTTAAGATATGTATAGCCAAAGAATTCAGGACAGCACATGCAGCGGGCATGGAGAGCTGTGCTATTTTGGTCATTTCCCCCCCTCCCCATCGGAGAGCAGGCTGTAGAGAAAGACATAGTCAACAAGGAAGTATTATCCAGCCCAAACCAGGGATATTAACATGTGAATCCCTTAATAGGAGGCCCATGCCCATGCCCCAGCCCTAGAACACCCACGAAAGTACTTGAGGAATGTAAAAACCACAGCAATGCGAATTGCTATTTAAGCAATAATAAAATACCAGACTTTGACATGTTGTAACACACATTTTATAACAGCAGCAGTGATCATTAGGCCAGCCGAGGGCAACCAACTGAAAACCAAACTATAACCTACCAAAAGCAAAGAATGAAAAAAAAAAACAATCCCCCCCACACACAATTAGAAGATTTTTGAAATAAAAAGTCTTAGCCTAGCAACAGAAAAAAAGAGGTAAGATCCTCATTAAGGGGAAAGGAGGGTGAGGCAATTCTCCTGACACCAGCAAGATAGCGCAGAACTCTGAAGTAGTGGCCTGGACACTGCAGCACCCTAAGTAGAGGGCTGCCCACCCAGCCATCTCAGCCTCTTTGATAGGCCCAGAGTCAGATAGGGTGGGCTCCAGTTTCCCACGCTCGTTGCTGCCCCTGCCCCCTCCACCCAGCTGGGACACCATGGCAGCCTTTGCCCTCCCTCCTCCTGTGGCGCTGCAAACAGGACCCTGGGGTAAGTCTGGGCCATGACTTGTGTTACTGCAGATGTATTCTAGACAAAATGAAAACCTAGTGGGGATTGAAGTAGGGAATTCTTTGTGTATAATCCATTCAGGTTTTCTCAGGGCAAATATGTCCTACCTTTGTCTCCACCATTGTATTTTCCGTGAGGTATTCTATTAACTGTAAGGATATATTTATCTTCTGTCTCAATGTGATGTTCCTCACTTGGATAACCATGATAACTGATAATTTCACTCTGTAGGAGGAAAACAACACAGAGACACTGGGCTTGTTTGAAAACATCTGCTTTGTACCTATATTAATAAAACTTTTGGAGGGAAGAAGAGGTTAATCTTAAAAGAAGATTTAGGACTAAGGAAGCTGTATCAGTGCAATCCGAAAATCACTTGGAGTAAGCCTTGTTGAATATACCTTATTAGGATTCTGTGTAGACCTACTTAGGATTGTTCCCTGTATGCTTCTTCTGTGGCATCTCACAGATACGGTGCCAACCTCTATGTGGGGCCTGGAGATCTCCCATAATTATAACTGATCTCCAGACTACAGAGATCAGTTCCCCTGGAGAAAATGGCATTATATCCCACTGAGGTCCTATTCCTCCCCAAACTTTGCCCTCCCCTGGCCCAAATCTACAGGAATGTCCCATCCTGGAGATGGCAACCATATCTCACTAAAATCATATAATTTACCAGAATATCCTCACCACATGCCATACTATAGTCTGTCTACCAGAATATGCTGGTTTTGGAGTGTATACTTGATTATATGTTATACACAAGGAGGTTTATTTAAATATTACCTCTGCTGTGTAGAATGCTACTTTAGGCAAGCAATTTTCCTTAGCCTTATGCGGGAGTAATAATATCTGAACTATCTCTAAGTTGAGCACTAATATTTCCATTTCACCTGCCTTAATTTTTGGCCTGGGAGGCTGGGAATACCAAATTAATGTTGGTTTTTAAAAAGTATGTATCTAACTTACAACATTTAAAAAACACTCAGGATCCACAGTATATCTCTCCAGAGGTTCTGCTGAAGTGAACTTTTCTGAACTGAATGTTCCTTGAGTTAAACATACTACGATAATAAAAAGCCACATCTTCAACCTGTTTGGAAGGGAACATATATTAATAAAATGGAACATTTGTAATTTGTGCTCTATACATGTTTGAAGCTACAATACTAGTCCCTCAGCCAGCAGTGAAGCATAAACAACATGAACATGTGAAGATGCCTTAAATGGAGTCACAGTTTTGGTCCTTCTGACCCATTATTGTCTATAACAAGCAGCTGGGAACTTTTAACAGGAGTTACCAATAACTGAGCTTGCATATGCCATTTGGTGAAAGTTAACTTCAGCACTGGTTGGAGGAAACATCTAGTTATAGAGGGGTATCTGTTCTTCTATGGCCCCTCTGTAACTCATGATTTTGCCAACCAGTGCTGAAGTTCCTTCAACTAATGATAGCCCTGAAAAGAAAAAGATCTCAAGATTACTCCTGACCTCATGACCAGTTTCCCAGGGCAAGCTGTAAATGACATTTTCTTGTTTTCATCTGTGCTCTACAATGTAATGTATCATATCTTGGCCTTGGAAATGTGGGGATTCTCTTTTTAATAACTGAACCTCTCCCAGGTTTATAGGTTTGGGTATGAATCTCTCTGCCAACTGAATGGATGATTCATGAAACTCATGAAGTAGACTGCGGCTCATGAAAGATTATTCCACTATAAATTTGTTGGTTTTTAATGTGCCACATGAACTGTCAATATCAGGCTAGAGCTGCAACTGAAGATATATAAAGGCCCTGTTCACACGAGGCATTTTGGGCCGGGAGAGGGACGGATCGGGGCCGCATCAAACGGGCACAATCACACAGCAACATCTGGCAATCGTGCCGTGGCCGTCCCCGATCCGTCCCAACCGCCCAAAACGCGCATCAAAGAAGAACCACCTACCTGGGTGGTTCAATTGAATGGGCCACGGCAAATGCGGCCGTGGGATCGCCGGCGCGTCTTTTTGCCGGCGCATCCCCTGCCCCCTGCCGTACTGCGCATGCTCGAGCATGCGCAGTACGGCAGCCTCCCCCTCCCACTCGTCTCTTCCTCCCCAGCATTTGATTGTGCCGGGGAGTGATGCGCCGCGGCTGAGGGGATCCGTGGGATCCCGCTGCGGCGTCTCAAGTTTGGTGCGGCTCTGATTAGCCACGTTTCAGCTTTCCCGTGTGGCAGGGACCGATAGTTTTCAAACATGAGCCAAAAGACACTTTTTGTAGTGCTTATAAATGCAAAATCTGTTTGATCATGGTTTAAAAGAGGTCAAAGGAATTGAGTGAGCATACCGCAAACAATAATGGCTCTATTGTTCCACTTTACATCTCTTTAAACTATTGGTTTTAGATGATGTAAATTATCTTTTCAACTCTTACTGCATTACAAAGGATAGAAATAAAGAGAAAAGAACAAAACAATGGCTGTATCTGACAAAGCATACACGGAATATTGATCTTCTCATGTTCTTCTCTGTTCCTGTTCTCCATTTCTGACTGTTGCAAAGATAATTCCTGGGGTTGCAGGACTGTATGGAGGAAAACAGGGTTGCACTTACTTGTAACGGTTGTTCATCAAGGGGTCTTCTGTGCAGGCATACATTAGGACTGCATGTGTGCAAGCCAGCTGCAGAAAAGATTTCCAAAGCTTTCTAGCAGACTAGGAGGACTATGAGTGACGAAGAACTTTATTACTCCTAATTATAGAGATTAGGGGTTTTATTTCACTTATGGGGGCCACTCAGGTCAGTTAGTTAATGGAATCATCACAGGGCATTCAATGACACTATCCTCATACATTTTAATAATTAAATAGTTTAGAAAAGTGTTCTTCCCAGAGCTACTTGGATATATAGGAATCTAACTCATGGTGTACCTTTCCTTGTGAAGTTGCAAGTATGTGTCAGAGCTTCGTCATTTTTTTTTAGTTAAGTCCAAGGCAAGCTCTTGCCAAGATTCTCTTATTGAGGCAAGGTTTTTTAATATTTGTTATGGAGCTCAAAGAAAGATTTGGCTAAGCAGTTTGTTTCTTTTTGTTTGTAGACCCTAATAGTACGTCTTAGGTCCTGGTCACACCAGTGAGATAATCCGGGGGCGAAGCGAGGCTTTTTGCTCCAGAGCAAAATGAAGCTCGGTATTGTGATCAGATGTTTCCCCCGAGGCTCTGTGCACATGCCCTCAGCCGCGATCACACATTGATGGTGAAGTGTGGCAAAGAAGGGCGAGGCAGCTCAGCAGTACGCCATTGTGCGCATGCGCAGTTCCGCGTTTGTGCGCATACCACCAGATGCAACGGGGTACCAACGCTTCTGTGATCTGACGCCTGCCCGCACCCCACTTTTTCCAGAAAATAGTGCACTTCCCCTGGTATCTTTTAACTCAGCTTCTTGGGCCGGGCGCAGGACACTTGCGAGATGTTTTTGTGTGATTGCATCCTTAAAATCTGCCCAGCGTTTGTCCCTATCACGTGGCTAATTCTGCTAATTTCTTATTTGAGCATTGTCTATCAAACCAGTTGTTTGTAAATTGCCCTCTTCCATTTGATATTCTAATGTTCTTAATCAAGAAAGTCCTCAGGGATACAATCAGCTCTCCATATAGTGTCAGGTCAGTCTGAATGTCGTTCACTACAAGAAAAAAGTGGCTCAATGTTCAGCACCTGTTGTAAATCGTTTTGAAGTGCATAGGTCCATCTCAAACAAATATCAGCTGTAGAACAAAGTCTGAGTCCAGTGGCACCTTTAAGACCAACAAATTTTTATTCTAGGTATAAGCTTTCATGTGCAAGCAGACTTCTTTAGATACAATGTGTGTGCTTGCACACAAATGTGTGTGCTTGCACACTTTGTTGGTCTTAAAGGTGCTACTGGGGTCAAACTTTGTTCTACTGCTTCAGACAAACTTGGCTACAAAACTGAATATTAGCTGTAATTTCAATATGAGGTTTTGATGCCCCACAATCCCACAGCGCTTCAGAAACAGATACAGAATATAAGTGGTTGATGGTCGCTTTCTGGAAGGGACCCTATATCAAAGTGTAATATATTATCACAAAGGGATGGGGATATTAGTATACAGTTGATCACACTCACACCTTTTCGGGTTATAATAAATGAATTCCCCATGTTTATCTCCCTCAAAGTTTCCATTTAATATTACAAAGCTAAGCTTGTTGATCAATTGGCTGAATATTATCCCAAGGAGTCTTTTATATTCTTCCTGCCATTATAAAGATCAATCTCATAGATATTTCCCCTAACCTTTAAGCTGCCATTCCCAATGTGGACAGTAAAGTTGCCTAACAGGATTATTTGTGCCTTGGGATATTTAAGCCCAAATTGATAGATGTAATTTTCCAGGTCCAGCCAACCGTTCTCATAACAAAAGGCATGGGAAGGAAAACATACATTCACAGCCAAAATAATCTCATCTTTAAAAGTCAAAAGACAAGCCACTGCTGAGGATATTAAGGGAGGAAGCAATGCTACATCACACTTCATTGACAGAGAAATCAAACATGCCTCAAGGTTGAAGGGTTCAAAAAGAATGACAGGACACAAACAGCTCTGCAGAAATCTGTCTCCTCCTGCCTGGAGAAGCAGGGCTTTATTAAAAATCCCTTTCCTCCTTCCCCCACCCCTATACATACAAGTCACCCCACTATGAGCACAGACATCAGGAATGTGTTGTGCAGACAGGTCATCCTCTTATCTCTCCGCGACTCTCTGCCAAGTAATTTGACACGGTCGACCACCAGTTACTAGTCCACTGTCTCGTCGACGTGGGGATTCAGGGGCTTGCCTTGCAATGGCTTGCTTCCTTTCTCCAGGGTCAGGAACAAAGGGTGGCACTAAGGGAACAGCAGTCCAGGAGACACCCACTTGAGGGTGGTGTGACTCAAGGGGCTTTGCTGTCCCCGATGTTATTTAACATTTATATGCGCCCCTTACCCAGATTGCCCTGAGGTATGGGCTGGGGTCTGCAGATGACTGCCAGCTCTATCTGATGTTGGGTGGCCAGTCGGCCTCCGATCCTGATTACCTTCATTCGGCTCTGCAGGCCGTGGCTGGTTGGCTTATCCAGGAGACACCCACTTGAGGGTGGTGTGACTCAAGGGGCTTTGCTGTCCCCGATGTTATTTAACATTTATATGCGCCCCTTACCCAGATTGCCCTGAGGTATGGGCTGGGGTGTCACTAATATGCTGATGACACCCAGCTCTATCTGATGTTGGGTGGCCAGTCTGACTCCAGACTGGAAGACCTGGACTCGGCTCTGCAGGCCATGGCTGGTTGGCTTAGACTGAGTCGACTGAAGTTGAATCCAACAAAGACGGAGGTCCTGTGCCTGTGTCGGGGCGGTTCAGGGGTGAGGATCCCACTCCCAACCTTCAGGTGGGCTCCATTGGTGCCAGCCTCGAAGGTTTGGAGTTTGGGAGTCCTCCTGGATCCCTCCCTTACTATGGAGGCCCAGGTAGCGGCCACTGCTAAGTTGGCCTTTTACCATCTTAGGCTGATTAGGCAGTTGGTTCCCTTCCTTGACTGCACTGACCTGGCCACAGTGATCCATGTGATGGTCACCTCGAGACTAGACTACTGTAATGCTCTCTACATGGGGCTGCCCTTGTCATGGATTCAGAAGCTGCAGCTAGTGCAGAATGCCACGGCCAGGTTGTTGATGGGCCTCCCTACATGGGAGCACATCCAACCTGTGCTGAGGATACTGCACTGGCTTCCAATAGCATACCAAATCTGCTTCAAGGTGCTGGTTCTTACCTTTAAAGCCCTATATGGCCAGGGTCCAACATACCTACGGGACCGCCTTTCCCCGCATATACCTTAGAGAGCACTACAGTCTGGGTCTCAAAATCGAATGACCTTCCCTGGCCTGAGGGAGGCCAGTTTGGCCACTACCAGGACTGGGGCTTTTTCGGTGGCAGCCCCTACCTGGTGGAATGAGCTCCTGGAGGAAATCAGGGCCCTGAGGGACCTTTCACAGTTCTGCAGGGCCTGCAAGACAGAGCTCTTCTGCCAGGCATTTAATTAGGGGCCGCCGCCACCACAGAACCCGGCCCGGGGTTTTTAACATCAAGCTGATCATGAGCAGAAGATCATTTGAAAACATCTGGGCAGTTGAAATCCTTTGATAATGTACCATCTTGGTTAATCTTAATTATCGTCAGCACTTTATATTGTTGGTTTTACTGTTGCGTTTTAAACAATTGTATAATTTTAATCTGTATTTATGTATATAACTATGCATGGAAGCCGCCCTGAGCCTGCTTGCAGGGAGGGTGGGGTATAAGTTTGATAATAAATAAATATGGACCCGACCTCAGTGGAAGTATCTCAAAGAGAACTTACCTCAATTCTGCTTGCTGCTGCAAGACTGACTGTTGCCTCAATATGGAAACTGGCTTCTCCTCCATCTCTGAACCTTTGGCATGATAAGATATGGGACCAATTTATCTTAGCAAAAATTACAAGTCTTATGCTTTCAGCTAATGGTAATGCATCCACCTCAACATCTCATTTTACATCTATCTGATTTCGTGTTCTTCAGTATATGTCCACTAAAAATATTCTCCCGTCCAATAAAATGTATCATTCATGGCTTCACTTTTAATTGGTTTGGATCTCTCTCTCTGAAATATTGACAGAATTTAATTTAGCTTTCTTAGTGACGCACACCATTCTTTACTACATTGATATTATAATGCCTAATGTATTTATAACTATTGCTGGCTGTTGTTATATACTAAGCAATCAACTAAGCAATCAACTAAGTTAATGTTTCGGGCTTTGCTGTTTATAGTTTTTCAGAATACTGTTGCTATTTGCTGATTATTGTTTTTTGTTATTGCTTAAATTCTTCTAATTAAAATATTATTATTTTTTAAAAGAAATTTGCTTCCTTGATAAGAGGAACAAGCTATGTGTAGATTTGAAGTGTGGTTCTGCTTTTCATTGTACAAGCTCTTCAGCAAAGACTTGCTGTGTATGTCTATGCTACTTTTGATTTCTGTGTACCAGCAAAAGCAGGACATCTGCTTAGTATAGAGTAACTTCTTCCTAATTTTGATGTCAATCAGGGCTTTTTTTCCTGGGGGAAAGTGCTGGAATGGAGTTCTGGAACCTCTTTGACAAAATTCTTTTTAAAATGTTTAAAAGTTTGTGAGTTTTCAATATACAGATTGAAAACTTCATTTCCCTCTTTAGAGTTCCAGCACCTCTTTTTCCAGACAAAAAAAGTGCTGATGTCAACCACCTCATCAAGTTGCCTTCTCCAACTAAATAGATGATAAATAGAATTTGTTGTTCCTTAAATTCTCTAAGATTTCTTACACTTTTCTCAGTCTTTTTGTTAATATCAAATCTCTTCAAATCTCTTCTGAAGAGAACCTATCCTCTTTCAAAAGACTCTGTGATTGTTATCTCAAAATTCTTAGCTCAGTTACCATGAGCTCTGTCATGTTTAGAGTAAAGGAACAGTCAGAGGGAGCACTTAGATCAGGCCTCTCATGCTACTTTTTCTGGCAGTTCATGACTGTGGCATGAACTGAAAAAGAGGGTACCTCCGTGCTAGAGGACACAATTTGTTTGGAAAGCTTACTTGCTGCCAGTACCAAGTATTGCCAAAAATACTACCAATAGTACTCATTCCACTCTGAGGGATGTCATTCCAGTCCCAGAGCAGTCTATTTGGGGTCCAGAGACCTTCATTCAAAATCCACTCCATATTTTCATTGCAAATTTTTAATGCTGTAATTAATTTCAATGGCCTTCTCGGCTCCCATTATATCCAAAGGTCTTTCAAGCCTCTCCTATTATTCCCAATGGGCAATCCTGTCATTCATTTTAGTACATCCCTCAGATGGGAATGCTGTTGCAAGCCCAACAGATGTAAACTCAGAGAATCCATGCTAATGTACAAACCAAGAATCAAAGGCAACATTGAACCTGAGAATCCACTGCAAAGTGCAAACCCTTCACAAATGAAGTCAAGCAAAGAACACAGTGTTGCAAGACCAATAGCACCAGTTTCAAAGATTGAAATCAACATGAAACCAACATTACAAGCTGATACTGAGGCCCAGGAAGACACACAGTAAAAAATAAAGTAAAAACAGTCCTGGGAGCCTTCAGACACTGGCTCCCAATATCCCTGGTTACTCCCAAATATTTCCAGGATTTTTCAGGACCCATTTCCTGGTATTCTGGAAAGTCCAGGATATCATCCAGACACTCAAATATATCTGGAAAATACTAATAAAGTATTTTTCAGATCTCTATTCAGACCAGATATATCCAAATACACATCCCCAGTGCAGGGTTGAACTGTGCTGGGACAGGCTGTCTCAATGGTGCAAGTATCTTGTCCACTGAGGAGAGTAATTCCACCCTTCCCATGATATGATAAACTTTTTTAAAAAATCAAACTTCAAGGCCACTAATATGATCCCATCACAGGGGGGGGAAAGTGATTTATAGCCAAATTTGAGTTTTCAAAAACAACTGACAATAGCTCAACTGAAATTACAATAGAAGACAGAAAAGAAATAACAGACATAAAAACTACATGCAACACTGCTCAAAATTAGCAGCCTCAAAACATCCCACCAGCAGATTATCTGAAAGCATGAAAAAACACACCAAAAGTTACTTTTATTGATTCTGAGTCATTGCCAAGAAGGCTGTCGGCACTTTAGCTGTCAAGGAAGATCACCAAATGGACAGCATCTTCTAATTTTTCTGCGCTCTTGGGACCTATATACTATATACTAATTGCTACATCCATGCCAAAACTAATGTAGATCATTTTCCAAACATGTATCTATATCTTACATTTTTTCTTACATTGATCTTGGCTTTCATAGTCATATTTTGAAACAACTATACCAAGGCCAGTCTTAGACTAGTAAAATAAATCATTCAAAAATTCCGAGAGAAATAAAGGATAGAACGGGCTAACAAGCTCAATTAGGATACAGCTAAATTAGCCTAATTAACAAGATTTAAAATAATCTCCTCAAAAGAGCCACTAGTGGTTACATCATCATACAAACAGCAAAAATTAAAACTAGGCTGAGGATCAAATCGACAGAATTTTGAAAAGAGTAAAGAAAAACATCAAACCAGTAAGACCAAACAAAGCATTAGCCAATTTCCACAAAAGCAGCTGAGCAGCCGAGCCCGGCTGGAATACCGCCCAGCCCAGCTGCTAAAACAAACCACTCTGTGGCTGATAAAACCAAGAAAAAAACACACTTTAAAAGATCAACTGCCTGCAAGGCTAGAAACAATCAACAACCACTAAAAGACCAATAAAACAGTTTAAAATCGGATAAAAACAAGTAAAATATGCTTGTGAATCGGAATTTGAGCAGCAAAACAACTCTACAGAATCCTAGATGATCTTGTGTGGAAGGAAAGAATGATGTATGGGAGAAGGACCAAGATTTCAGTGGTAAGCATATGCTTTGGTCCAGAAGGTTTCGATGCCCTGGTAACCTACAGTAGCAGGTGTTGGGGACAGAAACTTTCTTTGCTTGAGAACCCCCAAACAATTGCCAGTCAGAGAAGATAATACTGAGATAGGTGGAATCTGTGCAAGACAGTTTCCTATATTCTTACATTATTAAATAATGGTTTTCAAATCATGTAATTCTTATTTCTAATTTTAAGTTCATTGAATAAGTTATCTTTTGTTGTTTTTTAGTCACACAGTTGAGACTCTTCACGACCCCATAAGTATTTCTTTAGAGGTTTGTTTTTTAAAAAAATAATAATAATTACAAACCAAAATATGATTGCTGGTCTTGCCAGACTATCTGATTAGGGCTATGTTAACACAGCCCAGACTGGTACACATGCCAGTGATTATCTCATTACATTTTCCCAGCATATTCCCAGAATGCCAAAACTTACTCAACCTAGTTAATTCTTGTAACCTGTTGATTACAGATCTCTTAGGTGTTTCAAAATAAATACTAGTTTTTTAATTAGAGTTTGTTACTCTTTTCTTACAATAATTTAGATCCCAGTCAATCATTTGACACTCATTAACCCTTTCTATCAAGAAAGACAGCCGCATTCTTTGAGTAATTCAGAAATACCTTAACCAAGTTTCTGCTTCAAATTGTAATGCATAGTAAACTACAGATTATTCATATGTAGAGGAGGGGGAAACTATCTGCACTGCCCAGAGATCTTTGAAGAAAGGTGGGATAAGATTTAGTAGTATAATTTTTTGTGAATGTCAATATGTCTATTAAATAAGGATATCCAAACTTACCGTTGCTGAGTATATTCCTCTGTCTGAACCTACTCAGTACCAGATTCCAAATACAGGACTTACAGACAAGAATCTGCTTATGTACCATTACTCCATGATAAAAGCCACACCTAAGGACATGCTCAATGTCAGAACTGTGTCCTGTTTTCAATTCCTTAAGTGAAACCGAAAACCGCACTTCTTGTTCCACTCTGATTGTACCGATTGTACTAATTATGCATAGATCTCTCAAGATAAGAACAGTTCACATAATAAATAAATCTTAAACAGTCCAAGGCTGGAAAGGAAAGGGCAGAAAACCCTTTAGTTGAAGCTGTACCATGAGAAACAAGTGAATCCCAGGATTAGAGACCACATATAGCTTCTTATTAGAATGTATGGGTGTGTATGAAGAACCAGCCATGAATCATAATGTGAAAAATAGGGCACATCAAAGAAAACTACTCTTCTATATCTTTAACACGGTTGTATTATTAAAACAAATTTCCTGTATTAACTAGCATTCATTCATTATATATGAAGTACATTTCATGAGCATAAGCAAAGCCAGTAAATGATAATATGAGTACAATACAAAATCTTGATGTAGTTATTCTTGATGTTGTTTTGGCTGAGCTCCTGGAATGTATGAGACGTCCTGACAGAGCTGTAAAGTGTGCAAAGCAAACTGAGAAGTCCTCATTATAGGAGTTCCCGAACAGTGTTTATCACTCCTTCATTTGAAAACATGTAGTTCCAAGGAATGTAAGAGATAAAGAGAACACACTTTCCTAGGATTAAACAGCGGTTTCGTATGTCTTTTTCAACTCTCTCTCTCAGTTGGTGTTTGTCACCAATCTCTTGTCATGGCTGTTTTAAAACAAAACATGTGTCTAGCTCTTAAAAACATGCTATCTTACTGATTCTTAAGTAGAAATACAGACATAAGATTTTAAAGATACAGTTGCTTGCTAACTATATGTTATTTCTTAAAGAGACATATGGTTTCTTAATCTTGAGAATACAGAAAACAACATTCCATGGACAGGTGCTTTACTTACAAATTACCCATTGCTACATGAGGTTGTTTTTCAAGCTGCTAGCTACACACTTCATTTTGTGAAACTTTTCTGTACTGTTGACAAGTTGTGCAACTCACCCAGATGCAGAGGTGGCTGCAACTTGATGCCACACGACTCACTGGGACCAGCAACAACCTCTACACAACTTGCACAACTTGACCAGACCCAGTAGTAGCCAGCCACCACGCAGCTCATTTGAGAGACTTTCTACCACACAATGTTTGCAACTTACCCAGTCAGCCACACTCTTTGATTTGATGCCTTACTGCCAGGGGACATTTCATAGAAAAAGAGGTGCAGGAGCTCATTTGCATAACTCATTAGCATAACTTATTTCCATATGCCATGCCCCTGGACCTCACTGGAAGTGTGTCAGAAGGCAACACCCACCTCTCAGGCTCCACTGGACTGTTTTGGATTGCTAGCTACTGGGGGGGGGGGAATGTGCAGATCTGTCCTCACAGAGGAGGGAGAGCTTGTACCTGAATAAAACTTGGTCTTAAAGGTGCCACTGGACTGTTTTGGACTGGGGGGCTCTGCAACTTACCTGGCTGCTTCTTGCTCTGACTGAGGGCTGCTGGGAGCAGGGGGTGGGGCTTGTTGCATGTGCCCGCCCCCTGGGTTCTTTACTGCTGGAGCTCCGCTCCTGTGCTCTCCTGCAGGAAATGACCCCTGCTCACCGCAGAAGACAGCCACTCCTCTGCTAACTGCCTTTCTCCATCTCAACAGTCTGTCCAGCCCCCCCCCCCAGAACTTCTTCCTTATAAATTCTCCCCCATCAGGAGGAAAAATGCCTCAGCTTCTTTTTCTGACTTTTTCTCTCTCTTGGAGTTCTCCTCCTTCTGCTGGTGCTGCCTGTCGCTAGGCAACCAGTTTCCCAGACTCCCTGTAGGAAGCACCTTTTCTAGAGGGCAGTGTTTTTAGGCTATGGCACACTATGCAGGTAGAAGCATGTAACATTTATCAAGGAACAAAGAGGTCTTCTCTGGAAATTATCAAGGGCCCTTCATGTACAAGGAAGAAGGCCCATCCTTAGATAAGAGGTATGAGTCACTCAATTGCTATAGGCCTTAAACCAAGTCATTGGAGCCTATCATCATAACATGGGCAGAACACCAAAGAACATAAGGTACATCTCACTCTCCTGCCATTGGGTTATAGAACCACAAATCTTTTCCCCAGAAGTATAGCAGGAAGAGCATTTGAAGTTATGTAAATGCTTTCAGTTTCAAACCTATACTCCTATTAGTACTACATTCAAGGCCTATTAGTATTGCAAGGCAGCTGCTTTAACTGAAGACTCAGGTGAGGAAAGAATGTTTATTTCTTCAGCCTGCACAGGCCTGGTTTGTGCTCTGATCAGCAAAGGAGAAGCTGCTTACGAAATATCGAACACTCTAATGCATTTCTCCTAATAAAATCAAACTATTGCTACATACGTGTGCATATGTGTGTGTGTATATATATGTAGTGTTAAAGACACAATAAAATCAAATTATCATGGAAATTAGATCATTACTCCCTTTGTCAGTTCTACACCAAGACCAAGAGAAATACTCATCCAGACAAACTCTAGCAATATGATCTTCAAAGCGGCTTTATGTCTTTGGATCCTTAGGCCCTCCAAAGGTTTCTAAGATCTTTCATCATCTTCAACCTTAATGTGAATTTTCAAAGCAGAAAAGTGAGAGGATTAACTGCTTAATAATGGCCACATTTAGTGAAGCACTTCAAAACCTTTAACAGCTATGTCTCTAGTGCTCCGAAAGGATCACTTATATGGTCCTATAGAGATTTGTCAATAATGTAGGAAAATGCAGTTCAAACGCAAATGTTGCAAAGTGACTTGTACAGCCAATATTTCTTCTTATCAGTCCCATGATCAAATGTTTAAAAATGACCCCTTCAAAAAAGGCCAGCGGGTTAGTATGATCTTTAAACTGCTTGCTGCAGTCCTACTTCTGCTTTGAATTATGCATGGTGCCTCATTAGAGCAATGATTTCATTATACATGTTTTGAGGTGCATCCAGGCCCCAGATGAAATCCAGGTGAGCCCATTTTGGAACTGCTTTATGGAATGCAAGATTTTTAATCTGAGAGAGTAAGATAGCAGTGTCTTCCGGGTCCGAAAGCAGGTCTTCTCCTCCAGTCCATACTGCCGCTGGTACATTCATATCTTCTATCTTATATACGGGAGGAGTAAACTAGAAAAAAATGTATAGCCAGAAAGAAAAAAAATCTGTTCAGTTTCCTCCATTTTTTTAAAAAAGTATGACTATGTAACTCATATTCCCTTTTAAAATGATAACTTTCCTTTACCAGCTGTCCTGAACTGTCTACTGCTCATAGTTGTATGTATCTTTACTAAAAACTGGTGATAATGAAGTCCTTACAGCTTGGGAATGGCTTCCAGTGTCCATTTTTTAAAAGCTGGGAACCTCATCTCCCTTATAAATAAAAGCCAAATGGTGGTGGCACTCTCTAGAACATTCCACACGCTCCAAAATCAGTTCGCTCTCTGATCTGTCATTCAGAGGGTCTCCCTATTTATTGGCTGCTTTGCCTGAGTCCTGCCTCCAACATTCTAAACATTTTGCTAATCCTCTCCCCCCCATAGCCAGTCAGAACACAGAGGTTATTTGCATATGCAGCCTCATTGGCCTTTGCCTCAGAACACAGAGGTCGTTTGCATATGCGACTTGATTGGCTTTTGCCTCTAACATTCTAAACAGTGTTGCTGTTCTGAGGTAAAATGTGTCCAATCTCCAGGTGAGGGCTGGCGATCACTCAGAATTACAACTGCTTTCCAGATGGCAGAGATCAGTTCCCCTGGAGAAAATGGTGAGCTCTGTATCCTTATATGCTGCTGAGGTGGCCCCCGTATGACAGCCAATGTGACGTAGTAGTCAGGGCTTCAGAGCATGGGAGAGGCTGCAGGTGTGTGTGGGGTGGAAAGCTGAAGAGTGAGGGGGAAATAAAGGTAGGTTGATGATTGGCTGGGAAGAAGATAGGGTTGCCAACTCCAGGTGGGAAATTCCTGGAGATGTTTGAGATGTAGCCTGGAGAGGGTGAGGTTTCAGGAGGCGTGGGACCTCGGACAGGTATAAAGCCATAGACTCCACCCTCCAAACCAACTATTCCCTTCTGGGGAACCATAGTTGCCAATCTCCAGGTGAGGGCTGGAGATCACTCAAAATTACAACTGTTCTTTAGGTAGCAGAGATCAGTTCATCTGGAGAAAATGGTGGACTCAGTGTCATTATACCCTGCTGAGGTCACCACAGCAAATTGACGCTGAGTGTCCAAGGCCGGGGCACCCGCCCAGAGCCTCTTTCTAGAGGCCGTTGTATTTATTTCCACAACAGGCCTTTTTCCTGGTATTGGTAATTTGTACACAGTTTGAAATAAGCTATGATTTATTTGCATCTGCACAGTTAGCAAAGTTTATGTCAACATAGCTGGCTGGCTGATACGTGCTGCTGGGCTTCATAGGAATTGTAGCTTTCATAGGCTTCTGAGTCAGTTCTAGAGACAGTAAAAAAACCTTCAGTTCCCATCCAGCCCAACTGGAAGCCATTTTGAAGAAGACTAAGAAGACTTTACTGGGGAGACAGGTATTTGTCAAGGCCCGTTATCTGTTTAAAAGTCAAGCCCACCTGCCTGTTACCCCCCATCTCTAGAGTGTCACATTTTGCAGAGTTTGGATGGATTTAACAGAGCTTGACTTCTGAAAGGATCTAAGTAGACACAGGTGTATGAGTATACACTTTTGTATAACTGGGCTTTTTGGCTACTTGCCAAGAGGGAGTTTGCTCCCTTTGTCATGTTTCAAATGCAATTAAAAATCTGGGGGCACTCCTTGAGAATGTAACACATGAACTAGCCCTCAGTGCCAAAGTATTTGCCAATAGTCCAGTTCCATTTCCCCCCCATGAATTCCATTCTCCCCATATCTCCCTTTGTTTTTCTCTGTCCAAAGATTGTGTTTTTCAATAAATGCCCATTGCCCTACCTGATTGTGCTTCTTCTTATTCTTGACCTCATGGCCCCAGTCATAACCTTTAAATAGTCCACAGCGATAAATCTAATAGGAAGGTCAACAGATTGAATATTACGTCTATAGACGTACAATATGGACTCTTTCTTCCATTATACAGAGTGCGAGCTACAAGTTTTTCCTGTCATAGAGTGGATCTGGATTTTATAAAACATTTATATGAAACAGCTCACAAATTAAATGAAAGAACATCGTAAACCCAGAATCAGTTTTAATCACCATTAAAAACCCAGCCAATAATCCAGAAGCAAAAAAGCACACAGCCCACTCTGGAAGATAAAACATTTTGCTTGCCAAATAATGATCTTCACGGCCGTCCTCAGGCTAGAAGGAGATTGAAAAAACAATTAAAGAGATTACCTCCTTAGGTAAAAGCCTGAGCAAAACAAAAAGGGACTAGAGGGCTAGGTTTGCCAGTTTCCGGCTGGGGCCTGGAGATCTTCCGGAATTACAGCTGATCTCCAGAAAACAGAGATCGGTTTCCCTGGATAAAATGGGAGCTTTGGACAGTGGACTCAAAGGCATTATAACCTATTGAGGTCCCTCCCCTCCCCAAATCCACCTTCCCTAGGCTCTGCCACCTAGATCTCCAGGAATTTCCCAAACTGGAGCTGGCAACCAGAGGCAAGCTTCAAGGGGGAGGGTATTCCAAAGACAATGTGCCACCATTGAAAACGCTCTGACTGTAGTTGCCACCTGCCTCACCATTGCAGGTAGGAAAAATAGGGCACACCAAAGAAAATTACTCTTCTATATCTTTCACACACTTAGTTGTATTATTACAACAAATTTCCTTATAACAAATTTCCTGTATTAACTAGCATTAATTCATTATATATGAAGTACATTTCATGAATATAAGCAAAGCCAATAAATGATAATATTACAATACAAAACAATACATAATCTTGATGTAGTTATTCTTGATGTTGTTTTGGCTGAGCTCCTGGAATGTATACTCTTTGAGACATCCTGACGGAGCTGTAAAGTGTGCAAAGCAAACGGAGAAGTCCTCGTTATATGAGTTCCCGAACAGTGTTTATCACTCCTTCATTTGAAAACATGTCATTCCAAGGAATGTAAGAGATAAAGAGAACACGCTTTCCTAGGATTAAACAGCAGTTTCGTATGTCTTTTTCAACTCTCTCTCTCAGTTGGTGTTTGTCACCAATCTCTTGCCATAGCACGAACAGGAATGACAGTAATGTGGATCAACGCAACCTCTCTCTAATGTCCTAGGAAAGCGTGTTCTCTTTATCTCTTACATTCCTTGGAACCACATGTTTTCAAATGAAGGAGTGATAAACAGTGTTCGGGAACTCGTATAACGAGGACTTCTCAGTTTGCTCTGCACACTTTACAGCTCCATCATGATGTCTCAAAGAGTATACATTCCAGGAACTCAGCCAAAACAACGTCAAGAATAATAATAATAAAAAAGAATAACTACATCAAGATTTTGTATTGTTTTGTATTGTACTCATATTATCATTTACTGGCTTTGCTTATGTTCATGAAATGTACTTCATATACAATGAATGAATGCTAGTTAATACAGGAAATTTGTTATAAGGAAATTTGTTATAATAATACAACTAAGTGTGTGAAAGATATAGAAGAGTAATTTTCTTTGGTGTGCCCTATTTTTCCTATTGTAATTACACCAAAGCCTGTCTAGTTTTTGTCACCATTGCAGGTGGCTGTCACAGAAAGCAAGGCTTGAAACAAGGATAAGGCAGGATGGATAGTGCAGAAGGAGGAAGCTCTTCAGGAACTCTGCCCACAAACCATTTATTTATTAATTAAATTTATATCCCACCCTTCCCAAAATGGGCTCAGGGTGGGTAACAACAAAATGCATGAACAGTTAACAACAAAGTACATAAACAATTAAAACGAGTAATTAATTCTTAAAACAGCTAAAACCCATTAGACAATTAAAAGATGGCATATTGAGTGTATTCAGACCCTGATTGATACCAGTTCAGACCCTGATTGATACCAGTTATGCCATATATTCATGTCACATATTACATTAAAATATGATTCTCTGACTTAAGGTTACTAAACTACATGAAGAAAGCATTATATTCTAGATGCAGTTGGATCTTGCTCGAACTAAATATAACAGTATTTGTTCATCAGAGGCTGAGTTCAGACTGGCAGTTTGGCCTGATATGGGCACATTTCACAAACGGATTAAAGAGGCCGGTTCATACAGCCACAGCCGTCAGGCGTTCCTCAGCCGTACTCAACCCGTGCAATGACGATTTCCTACATCATTAAAAAAGTACCAGGTGAAAGCTGTAGCGAACCCTGGAGGGCGCGTTGATCCCACTTCCTGGAAGTGTGTACGCTAAAAGCCACAAACAAGCTGCATAGCTGTGGTGCTGTGCCTATGCGCATAGGCGCATGTCACCGGAGTGAAAAAAGCCAATTACAGCTGTGCCTCCGCCAGGGGCGGGCCAACAGTGAGAACGCTCCCTTGCACCTCCTCCACGGTATGCTCCTGCATCAGTAGGTTCGGTGCAACCGGGAATCCCCGGCACAACTTGGTCCAGGTCTTTTTGCCCTGCCTCCCTCGTGCTTCATACTGCCAGTCTGTCCTCAGCCAGAGAATGTAGAAGGGTCTCATGACCCTCAAATTAGGCTTAGCCAATTCTGATGAAAACAAAATCAACTAAGATCTCTACTGGACTCTGCCAAAGGGGTTTCATTCGTGTTTATGGCTACTTCACCTTTCACCATGTCAGCATTCACACAGTATGCTCTGTTTTTTTTTAATTTAGTGAGTCTAAGTGTGGAGTAGGGGCTGACATATTGGACTACAACCAAAGAGACCTTGGGTCAGAGTCCTACACAGCCATAAAGCATAATTGGTGACCTTGAACCAGTCACTCTTTTTTATCCTAAACTATCTAACAGGGCTGTTGTAAGAATAAAATGAAAGGGAAGGTACCATGTACACTGCCCTGAGTTCCTTGGAGGAAGGGTAGGAAAAATCAAATCATTAAAATAAAATTAGTTATAACTCATATGCTGTTCTGAGCAATTTGGTGTTGGCTACTGTTGACTTGGTCTGAGTTTTTCTTTTTGCCAGAAATCAAGATTCTAAATTGTAGTTTGATCCTGATTTGGAATGCCACTCGATGGAGAAGAAACAAGCTCCAGTTTGTCTAGGCATCCACATTTGGACATAATGACAAATTAAAGTTGGAAACATGCTTATGTGTATAAGAGGAAGAGAGCATGGCCATCAGTCAGCTTCATACTTGATATATGGATAGTTGATGTATGAATATGTGACCTTTCAAAACACCTTCAAACTGAGATAGGAGAAGAGACCTAATGAAATGAGATGATCATCATGGAAAATTTGCCATGAACTGACCAGATAAGAATTATCAGAAAAGAACCCAAATGTTCTGCAAAAATCTGAAAAGCTATGGTAGGAGTTTGTAGTCAGGAGAAGAAACATGGCATATGGGGGAACGGATTGTTTTATTCTGTTCCTGAAAGATGTTTTTTCCCTCCACCAGGTATGACAAACATGTCAGGGAGCCCCAAGACATCTCCTTCCAAACTGCACTCTTGCTCACTACTTATTAGACCTGAGTTTGCTTCCAAATGTCTAGTTTGACACTCCAAATATATGTTAAAACATTCCAACAAATCTTCTGAGTGAACTCAGAGTTATATATGTATTCAGTACTGAATCACCATCATTTTTAAAAGTTTATTTCTTATATAGGCGAGAGGAGCATAATGAATAGCAATATGGTGAAGATGAATACATTGAATTGTTGGAGTTTATCAATTAATATGAAGAAGAATTAATAAATATACCTGGCTCCAATGAAATATATTCTGTGCAGATGTTCCAGCTGGCGCCCGAGCAACATACACATTTATTCGACTCTGAAAGACAGAAGGAATATTAACCTTCCTGAGTAACTCTCTTCATGAGTTTCCCAGTAGTTTTTAAAGGTAGATGTAGGAGGTCTGGGATCTCCAACCCCACCCTCCACCTTCTTGTCCCTAAAGAGTCACCCAGGTAGCCTCAGAGAGAGGGGGGAGGTTTGGAAGCACCCAGTTCCTCCTCTTCTTGCTGGCTCCCTTCCTGTGGTGCCTGGAGTACATAACCAAGGACCTCCTCCCCAACCACACCTTTGTGGAGGGGTCAGGGACTCAGGGGTAGAGCATCTAATTTGTATGCAGAAGGTCCCAGGTGTGATCCCTGGCATTTTTGGTCATGTGAAAGACCTCTTCCTGAAACCCTGGAGAGACAGGGCAAGTCAGAACATAGATCTATTGACAGACCAATGGTTTCCCTCACTGTAAGGCAGCTTCATGTATTTGTGTAGTCTTTTAAAAAGCAGGCCTGTAAGGACGGGGGAGGTGTGTGGGGGAGGTATTTCTGAATTTCCTGCATTGTGCAGGGGGTTGGACTAGATGACCCCAGAGATCCCTTCCAGCTGTATGGTTCTGTGATAGCAGTCCATGCAAGAGACCAGGAGCTGGCCTGTCACTGCATCTAGACCTCCCCACCCTGCGCAGCAGCTCTTTAAAGGGTCTCTTCCCCATGGCAGCTATGCAAATGGACAGCAATCTTTTCCCCACCCCACAGTGGCTCCCACTCTGGGTGGTAGTCCCCCTGCCCACCTGACAAAATTTTAAAACAGGGTAATTTTCTATATAATTAAACAATTTGCATTTTACTAAACACTCAATGGGAGCTGCGGTGGCTCAAGTGGTCAAGATGCTGAACTGCAGGCTGTGGAAGGTCGGTAGTTCAGCAGTTCGAGACCCGAGTGTGCCGCATGACGGAGTGAGCTCCCGTCTCTAGTTCCAGCTCCTGCCAACCTAGCAGTTCGAAAGCAAGAAATTGCAAGTAGATAAATAGGTACCACTTCGGTGGGAAGGTAACAGCGTTCCGTGCGACTTGGTGTTTAGTCATGCCGGCCACATGACCACGGAAATGTCTTCGGACAGCGCTGGCTCTTCGGCTTTGAAACGGAGATGAGCACTGCAACCCTAGAGTCGGGTTCGACTGGCTTTCGAGCAAGGGAACCTTTACCTTTACCTTTAAACACTCAATAGAGTTAAACAGGAATGCTGATGATATGGATAATGTCAAAACTCAGGGGCTCTTTTTTCCCCTTAATCTTGCATTGGTTGCTGTAAGGTTTTGATGTTTCCTATAGTCCTCTTGTAAGTTCAGTGGGATGTGGAGGCTGGAAAATGGTTGGGCGACATAGTGAAATTGGGATCAATCCGAACTCCTTAAAGAACTGAAAGCCATTGCAAGGGTCTAGAACAGTGGTTGCTAAAGAGTAGGAAACTGATGCTACAGTATAGGATAGCAGATCTGTGCATTAATTGGTTCCTGGTGAACAAACTAATAATGTTTAGCATGTAGACAGCACTTCCAGTGTTCATCGCCCCAATGCTAAGGGAAGGGACCTGGGTTTTTTTAAAAAACAAAACCCACATTTAATTGCTGTTCAATTGTTGGATGGTTTGGGCTTGAGTCAAGCTTGAAATTGGTTTCTTGCTTCATTATTTTGAGGAAGCGTTTTTACTCCATCTTGAAGTGCCTTAATAAACTAGGGTAATAATAATAGCTAATCAAAATTCAAGCGGTTCATTAGACTTTTAGATCCAAATAAACTAGTCCAGTTTTAACAGTTTTCCTTCTGCCTTTCAGTGCCTTTAGAAGTAACAAGAAAGAAGACCCGCGAAACTCGCGCGGGGGGGGAACTGCAAAGTCAGCAGGCGTAGGAGGAACCAGCAGGAGCAGGTAAGCTCTCCACTCCCCCCATCCTGCCGGTTCCTCCGTCTCCTCCACCCCCCGCCTCCTCCCCCCG